TTATGGGTGATTTCTGTGGACAGATGAGGACTTAGTGTAGTGGATATCAAGTCCCTCCGAGGAGCTGCCCGGCACTAGGACAGGGACTCTTCATGTCCACTTGCAGTGGCCCCATTGTTCAGGTGATCCAGCTCCAACATTTTGAAAGGAGCAGCTCATCTCTTAGGGCTCAGCCTGACCATTTTTTTTTCCCTTTTTCTTTTTGGAACTAGAGATTGAACCCAGGGACACTTTCCCACTGAGCCACAGCCCAGTACAATACAGCTGCTTAGTAGCAGAGATGGATTCAAGTAGTCCAGGCTCTCCGGCTTAGGACAGGCACTCTTCTCCCTGCCATTTTCACTTTATTTTTTACTTATAGTCAGGGTCTCATTAAGGAAGTTGCTTGAGGCTGGCCTCCAACTTGCAATCCTTCTGTCTTAGCCTCCTGAGAGTCCCTGGGCTTGCAGGTGTGCACATTGCCCCTGACTTCAAGCTGAACATTCCTCACCCTCTAGCAAACTACACGCCCATGTTGCTGGAATCCGAGAAGCCGGAGTTGGAAGGGATGTACAAGTGTGGTCAGCTAGTCAACAGTTCATGATCTGTTTGAGACCCCCATGGGGACATAGTCACCTTACACTGGGTGGATTTTTACTGCTCTGGAGGTGGGACTGCAGCAGGGAACATGAGTGACAATCATCCCTGACCTTAAGTCCCAACCTCTGGGAAAAAGTGGGGGGAAGTAGTAATAAAGTCTTGTGATTTGAAGCCTGTGCGTGAGACGAGGCGAGGGAGGTTCGGGGTGCACGTAGGGATTAACTGAGTGGTGACCGTGGGCAGGGAGGGTGTGGCCGTGGGAGGCGGGTTCCTGGGGTGTCCTGGGGGTTCGTATTTTACTCCTGGTGAGGGAGCTCTCTCTGCTCCTGTTGCCGTGGCCAGAGCTGCTTTCCTCCTCTGCGCCCTTCTGCCATGATGCTCTGCCCCACGTGGGCCCAGAACAATGGAGTCAGTCATCTGTGGACGAGGCCCCTGCAGCCGTGAGCTCTGAAGGACTGGCCCTCCTCTATGTTGTCATTGTCAGGCCTTTTGGTTGCAGTGATGGAAAAGCGAATATAAACAGAAATAACAAAAGAATAGTAACAAATACACATGTCCCTGGAGTGGATTGGTGGACCCAGAGCTGAGGGGGCGGCAGGCGCCGGTGGGAGGCTAGAGATGCTCCCTTCCTGCTGGCTCCGGGGGCCTGGCTGGACGAGGTCAGGGTGGAAACCCGGCCAGAGCAGTGGGATGGATATTTCCCGGTCGCCGCAGGACACTCTGCATGAGAGACCTCCTGGGCAGCGGGCAGGGGCAGGGGGACAGGGTGGAGCCCCTGTGCGGTGGGCTCCCGCCTGCTGACTTGGTTTCCCCTGGGCCCTGTGTGGACCTCCTAGTTCTCGTCTTTGAGTTAATGACCATGATGGCCTCCTCCTGTTAGTGACTGTGATCTTTCTGCGTAAGGCATATGCTCACCTCGCCTGTGGACCTTGCCCTGCTCCGCCTGGTCCCCAGCTCTGCTGCTCCAAGTGACTCTTGGGTGTGGCTGCCAGCTGCTCGCCAGGCGGGTAGACGGCAGTGGAACCCCAGGTTTGGAGTGCGCAGCGACATGTGGGCCTGCTTCCCAGGCGGGCTGCACGTCTCCCGGGTAGAGAGAAGTCAGAGACAGAAACTGAGGGGGCTCTTTTAGGGCACTTGGGGTGCAGGACTGCCACCTTGGGCCTCTGGGAGTGCTATGGTCTGGATGTGAGGTGTCCCCCAAAACTCACGTGTGAGACAACAGGACAGTGTCCGCCATGAGCTCCAATCAGGGCCTGGGACCCCCATGGGGCACCCACAGGCCCAGCAAGTGCTGTGCTCACACGCCTGGGCCAGGACCTGGCTCCAACCTGCTCCTCCCTGTCCCCTTCCCCATGAGTGGCGTGCCATTGCCCTGCGGCCAGGACACAGCGGGTGCCCGTCTGCTTCCCTCCCCCTCAGGAGCCCCACTGAGTCCCGCAGGCCCCCAGCCTCCTCCCCCACCCCTCCCAGCAGGGCCGGGTGCCCTGGCTGCAGGCCTCCTCTCCTGCCTCCTCCCTCTGCGTCTCTGCTGTGCCCACTGGCTCTGCACGCCCCCGGGCACAGCCGGGCATGCTCAGGGCCGCGCTCCCGGGCAGGCCGGGGCCCTCCTCTCTGGCTCTCACTGCGCCTCCCCTCCCCCTCGTCACAGGCGCCCCCGTGACTGGAGCCCAGGGCAGGGGCTCGGCCCATGACCAGAGGTGTCCAAGGCCCAGTGGAGGCGCAGAGGGAGGGTCCGGCTCCCAGCGGGAGGTGGGGGAAGCCTCACGTGGGGCTGGCGTCCGTCAGGTACAGGGGACCCCTAGGGGTCTTCCCGCTGGAGAAGCAGGTGGCTGTTCTGGGAGGGCGAGCAGCCCGAGGAGGTACTGAGGGTGGGAGAGAAGAAGGTGCTCGAAGGAAAGGCGCGTGGCCGTCCGGGGAGGAAGGGGGCGCAGGGCAGGGCACCAGACAGAGCCAAGGGGCCTGGGAGACCCTGCAGCTGATGACCGTGGGCTCCATCCCGAGGGCCGGGAGCAGAGGTGAGGCTCGTGCAGCAGGAAGGGGGCCCTGGGAGGGAGGGGCTGGCCGGGCTGTTGGTGCTCCTTGTGCGACACCTGCAGGTGACCCCCGCTTCCTTCCAACCCGGGGCAGATGCTGGTGGCAGAAGGGACAGACCCAGGGTGATGCTTCTGGGGAAGGGGAGCCAAGACCAGTGTGGGCTGACGGGGCTTCCCCACCCTCTGAGCTGACATCCGGGTTACCAGCCAGGGCCTCTCTTGGGGGGACACCTCCACTCCCACCAGATGCAAGGGGCCCACCCTGACTGCGGGTGCTTCCCCTGTCTGGCTTCCAGGGCAGGAGCCAGGAAGGGCAGAGCCGAGTGTATTGAGTATCAGGCTAGTTGCTGCCGTGCCCTGGAGAATTGGCTGCTTGTTTCAGGACCTGAAAATCCACAGTGAATAGCCACCTGCCCAGGGGGGTTTAGAAAGCAGGCTTCGGGTAGAGCCAAACTTGAAGGTGGACAAAGAGGCTTGGTTCCACCTTTCCTCGAAGATCTACCACATGCCAGGCACAGCCTCATTTAATCCTCATGCAACTCTTCCAGGGAAGTAGTATTATTTTCATTTCAAAGGAAGAAACCAAGGCACAGAAAGGTTAAGGACCTTGCCTGAGGCCACACAGCAAATTCTTAGTTCTCAGTGTAGCACACAATCTCTACTGGTTCTCCTGGACTAGCTGCAAACTTTTTGCTTTTGTCCCAGATATATAATCACTGCTCAGCCCACGTTCTTCCACAAGCATAATTGCCAGTGTTTATTAAACATGTTCATAGTGCCAAGCACTGTCTGTTACATTATTTGGAATTCTTGCAACACACCATTTGAAGTGAGGGTGTTTATCCCCACTTTGCGGATGAAGAGTTGAGGCTCAGAGAGCTGAAGGGACTCATCAGGGTCATGCAGCTGGGAAGTACAAGCAGGTGTGCACCCGGGCAGTCCGACCTCAGCCCTCCTCGGGGACCAGCCCCTCAGTCTCCTCTGCAGACAGCTGGCTTCCCCTCTGCGCCTCCCCGCTCCCCACTCCTCCTCAGCAGGAGCTCTGCCCTGCACTTCTGCTCAGTCTGTCAATAAGCAAAGAGGGAGGGAGATGAAATGGTGTAATGAAGGAAGGGCCCTTTGGCATCTCAAAAGAATTGTCCAACCAGTGCCCAATCGCTGCCAACAGGCCGCCTTTTACTGTGTCTGTGGTCAGCAATGGGCCCCCGGCGGTGACTCTCTGTGTGCACTGGGTCCTCACCGAGCCGGGCTGAGCGGGTGGGAACAGTGCTCTCCTCCAGCTCTCCGGCAAAGGTCATGTCAATTCCTGCCAGAAATACAGCAAAAGAGCAAAAAGGCCCTTCTGCGCCCCGGGGGCTTCTCCCGCAGCATCCAATCAGGCTCAGTGTGATGCTCCTGGCCCGCCCCGCCACCCACCCCAGGCCCTTCCTGAGGGTCCGGCCTGCCCGGTGGGGCAACTGAGGCTTAGAGGTGACAGGGACTTGCCCTGTATCTATGGGTACATTGTGGGAATGGAAATTGGTCAGCGTCCCCTGGAGTCCCAGCTGTGCTGTGCTGGTAGATCCTCTGTCCCCGTCCCCACTAGTCACCTGGTGTGTGTCTGCTGAGGACAGACTCTGCGCTGTGGTTTTCCTGGGTCAGGGTTCCGGGGGCAGCTCAGCTCTGGGCTGCAGGTCCCCATGTCACGGCCCTCTTGGGTTTGTCTCGAGCTCTGTTTCTCAGCAGCGGAGTCTGATGGGCCCCGGAGGTTTCTGAGCAGTCTCTGGAAGGCTTTGTCTCTGTGGCGATGGTTTCTGGCCCCTCTGGCCGACTCTTGCTGTCCCCACTCCATGCAGTGTCCACTCAGGTCTGTCCTTCCGCCTCCCGCAGAATCACCCCGCCCACACCAGGCATTTTTTGCCCACAGTGGGCTTCCTAGGTAACGTTGGGGGCCCACAAGGTGACGGTCTCTGCAGCTGAGATTCCAAAAGTTCTCGGTTGACTCTCAGGCCTCGTGGGGCTGCTGTCAAGTTTTTATTCAAGGACACGGAGAAAGTGGACAAGTCAGATGGGTGCAGTGGAATGAAGCAGGCTCACAGCAGAACGTTCCAGCACCCCGACTCAGCAGCCCCTCCCAGCTCCCCCGCCCCATGCACTTTGCACAGGAGATCAGCGAATGCGGAGAGGACACCGGCCGTGGGCCAGATGCTGTAGGATCTCATTACACCACCTCTGAGCGAAAGCTGCTCCTATTCCTCATTGTGCAGATGAGGAAACTGAGGCTTAGATTAATCGCTGGCCCAAACCATGCTGGTGGGGGTGGACCTGGGGCTCCATTCTCCAGTGTCCCTGTCCTTAGCCTCTGGTCTGGGGAAGCATTGTGCACTTGACTCCTCTGTGCACGTCCTCGGCCCTCACGTGGACGCCCGCTCTGCCTTCCGAAGGCCAGCTCTTCTGAGTGACCACTGCTGCCTGACCTGGCCCTCCTTCACTGGGCAGCTGGTGGATAGCTGAGCGACTGCATGTCCAGGCTCACAAGTTGACTCAGCCAGAGGTCAGGGGACAAGGGCTGTGGGGACACAGGTGTCTCCCCAGAATCTGGCCCCTTGAGCACCCTCCCTGTGCTCCCTGCAGAGCCGTGTCCATCAACATTCCCTTGTCTTTTAATTTGGGGAAAGAGGACATGAAAGGCAAGAAACACAGTGGCGGTGGGGGGCGGGCAGGACGTCTTGTTGGCTCCCCGGGAAGGCTGGCAAGATGGATGGAGGGCCCCCGCCGTCCTCTGAGCTCACGCTGTTTGGCTTCAAAGTCGTTTCCCGCGTGATGCATTGTGCTATCTGGAAGATCGATTCCCCCTTCTCAAGACCACAGAAGAGTCTCCGTGTTTCAAAACGCATTTGGGCTTTTTAAAACTAACATATTCAGTCCCGTTGCCTCTGGGATCTGTAAGCAGACCCAGTTCCTGCTATTTTTGGGATCATTTCCAGAAAAATAATTTACTTTTCATTGTGGAGTCTGTCAGGCTAAGTGGAGTGAGTCTCTTTGTGGGGCTGGACGAGTAAATCCAGTCCTGAAAAAGATGGGGATTTAAAACCTTTCCTGCAGAGAGGGCTCGTCGCTGGGCCTGCCTCGTAGCTGGAAATCAAAAGGAGCTGTCAGGAGGCCTGTGCACGCCACACGCTTTGCTATCGTCTATCAGGTCTGTTTTTTTTTCTTTTTTTTTTTTTTTTAAGTAGCCAGTGCTGTTTGCATTAATAATAATCATAATAGCTCTATCAAGAATCACCCTTGTGTGCTAAAATAGCTCCCTTCCTAGTTCAGAAGTTAAGAACTTAGACTTTGCAGTGGAATGGACCAGAATTCAAAGCTCAAGTTACTCAACCTCTCTGGCCTCAGTTTCCTCATCTGAAAAACAGGCTGAATACAGGTGTCTCCCACGGGGCGGTGTGAGGGGCAGGGGAGGGAGGCCCACGGGCAGGGCCAGAGTCGGCACTAGGCACAGGAGGCCCGAGGCCCACCTTGCTTTTCTAAAGGCCCCTTTAGAATGAGAAGGAAAATAATGAATAGGATGGTTAACAAACGTGTAGAAAACCAGCTTGGATTGTTTCCCCTTTGTATCACTACGGCCATAAAAATGTACTTTTAAATATCTGTATTTTTTTTTTTTTGGTATGGAGTAGGAGTTCACAAAGGCAAAAACGCCCCAGGCCTATGCAAGTCCAGCGCCAGGCCTGGCCTGCATCTGAGGCCAGGGCAGTTTCTGTCCTGTGAAGAAGTCCAGAAGGAGGCTGCCTGGCGCTGGCCCGGCCTCCCGGCTCCTCCAGGACCTGAACTTCTGTTTCCCATCACTTTGCCTCATGGTTTTAATGGCTGCTGGGACATTAGCCATCATGTCTGCATTCCAAGCATCAGAAAGAATGAAGGGGGAAAGGGCCAAAGGAGCCCTCTTCCAGAACGTTCTGGGAATTCCCCCAACCTGAGCTCAGTCCAAGGTCAATGGCTTAGATGCCGGGGCCAGGAGAGGGCGTGTTCCGTCTGTGGCTTTGCCTTTCCAGGGAAAGGGGTGCTGTTCCAGGCAGGGAGGAGGGCAGCTCCGAGACCCAGAGGGAAGGGGTGCTGGCTCTCCAGGGGAGCAGCCGGCCAGCAGGAAGAGGGAGACCAAGTCCTCCCCCAGGTCCTCTCGTGGAGGTGGCTTCATCCAGGCCTGGCCAGGCGCCCGGCAGGCACCGGTGGCTCTACGGACTGGGCAGGGTGAGGGAGGGACCCAGGGCCCAAGCAGGTGCGACGTCTGCGCCCACGGATCTGCACGCGGCCTTCTCGGCTCTCTCCACCCCGTGGCCTGCATGCGCCCCGCGGTCTCCCCGGCCATGGGGAGCCTGTTTGGGGCAGGATCTGCCGGCCATTCCTCAGCAGCTCTGCCTGTCCCCCGCCCCACACACACTTGGGGCTCACAGGGGACAGGCGCAGGCTCTGGGCCTCCCCGGCTCCCACACTCTCCCGCTGCCCCACGGCTCAGGGCGCCTCGAGGCAGAGGAGCGCGACGTGTCGTTTTTGAAAAGGATTGTTCCCAGCTGTGTGGAAGGACTGGCCGTGGGGCAGAAGCTGGCAGCCGGTGGGGAGGCCCCTGCGGCTCCAGGAGTGGGGGGCGGCAGGTCCAGCAGGAGGCGCAGGGCGGCGTGGGGACAGGCCTGGGTGTGCCGCGGACCCCGCCGTCTCTGTTGCCTCCCGTGCTGTGCCGGCCTCCTCCACGGACGGGGGCTGCTGGGACCTCCTGCCCACGGCTCTGACCCCCATTTACAAGGACGGCAGGTCAAGGAGCCCAGAAAGCCCTGTCCTGGGGTCACGAGGTCGCTGTCGGTGCTTACAGGTTTCTGGCTGTAGAAGGTTCCAGAACCAGAGTGACAGGGAAGGGACTCGTCTAATCCTGGCCCCTCCTCCCTTCCACTTTCCGTAGAGAGAGGAACAAAACATTCCCCAGTGTGTCCCTCGTCTGTGCCCAGAGCCGGCAGCCCGCCCGCGGTTTTACTGTGTTCGCTGGAGCTTCCCAGAACGTGTCCCTGGGCTTCTGCACCTGGGGGCTCTCTCCCAGAGCCCTCCTCACAGTGTGTGCGCGTGCGTGTGCGCGCGTGTGTGTGTGTGTACGTGTGTGTACGTGTGTGTGCGTGTGTGTACGTGTGTGTGCGTGTGTGTGCGCGTGTGTGTACATGTGTGTGTGGGAGTGTGCGCGTGTGTGCGCGTGCGTGTGTGTGTGTGTGTGTGCGTGTGTGTGGCATGGCTCTTGTTCCCATCCCCACTCATGGCCCTGCTTGTCATTCCACACTCCTGTCTCCCTTTGGTCCCTGAAGACAGCCACCCAGGGTGGAAGGACCTGCCGTGGGGGGACCCTCATGGGCAGAGGATTTGGAGGCTCCTCTGGAGTCTGCCGGGCGCTGAGCTGTGCGGAGGGAAAGGCCTTTTGCCCTCTGGGCTTCCAGGGGCGGTGGGTGGGGGAGATGCTGAGCCATCATTTACCTTTTTCTACATTTTCCCAATTTTCTCAATCTGTTCCCATAGCAACCCTAATAGGGATTGGGTTGCTAGAAAAGCATTCGTTTCTATAGAAACAATTTGTTCTATAAGAGAAAAAGTTTACTTGGTAGCACATGAAATCTAATATTAGGATTTTGGTTTTGTTGGTGGATTTTTTTTTTTTCCTGTCAGCCAGAGGAATAGTTCCCGAGCCACCTACAGACGTATGTTGCAGCTTTAGGCTCAACATTTCATCTCACGTGTTTCCATATGGGATGGAGGTTGCTGAGTCTCAGTCCCTTGGATCTTTATAAGAAGACAAAATTAAAAACTGTTGACCACTTGCATATTCCGACACAGGGGCTAGACTAGGTAATCTCATGAGCTGTTATTAAAAAAATTTTTTTCCCTTTTGGCGCAGGAATTTGCTGTTTCTTTTGACTTTCCTTTAAAAACCCTGAGGCGTTTTGAATGGAATGAGGTAGGCACTTTGGTTGCAAGCAGCAGAAACCCAACTCAAAACTGGGCAAGAAAAACAAAGGAAGAGGAGGATTAATTAGTTTTCAGAATCCTGGTTTCAGGATCGGCTGGATCCAGGGCTTGTGAAGACCTGGTCCCTTACCCTCACTCAGCACTGTCTTCTTTCTGTGCTGGTTTCATTCTCAGGCAAGCTCCTGGGAGGTTCCAGAAGTTCCAGTTTGTTTCTCCAGGGAACGGAGAGTTCCACTTTTCCAAAAGTTCCAGGAAAAGTCAGGGGGATGATTCTAACCAGATTGACAGGTCGTGTGCACATCCCAGAACAGGTCGGTGGGACTGGAACAGGACGGAATGAACTGACTGGCCAGGCCTGGGCACTTCCCGTGGGGTCAGAGGTGAGGTCAGCCCTGACCGCTCCACAGACTGAGAGAGATGAGGAAAGTTCTCTAGTGGACCAGAGCCAGAGGTCAGCACGTGGAGGCGGAACCTGTCACGGACCACTCTGGGGACCAAGTCCAAATGGCCTGGGTGGACCGCTGTGTCCACAGCCTTACACGACGGGGCTGGCCTGTAAGAACTCGCTCGTGCCAGCCTGGACGGAGAGCGGGCAGCCAGGGCTTCCCCTCCAATCATTTCCTTTTCTAATTAACCTCCTACCAGCTCCACTTCGAGAACATCTTTCAAACAAGCGTTTCTTTTTTTCTCTTTTGAAGGAAGTTGAAAAAAAAAAATCAGAATACATTTGCATGTTGCCTAAAACCTTCTAAACCCGTGTCTTATCTTTCTCACGAGCGGTCTGGTCTTTTCAGTGTCGGGAGCTATATAATGAGAGTTACCTTCAGCCTCCCCGGCTCTTTTTGAAAAGGTTATCGTGAACAGGGGACAAAAAAATCACCTGAAGCACAGCTGGGTCTGCTTTTCAATTGTCTTTTCATTGCAAAGTTCAGAGAGTTCCAGAAAAGCATGCATCAGCAGAAGCAGAGGCAGCAGCTGCCTCATATCTGTGCATTTTTTGGGGAGGATATTCCCCAGGATGATGGAAGGTGCAAATTATTTCAGGGAAGGTGTTGGTGTGTGGCCAGTCATTTAGATCAACAGGATTTCCAGGGCTTATTAAGAGCTTAAAATAGGATTGTTAAAATTCAGAGAGCATTTTGATTTGAGTTTAACTTCTGCTATCTGGGCTTTTGGTTTCAAAAATGTTTAGTTCTCAGCGCCATTGATTTGCAAAGATATTTTAAAAGTTTGAAATATCCTTAGGATTCTTCTTTTCCTCGTTAATGATCTGGGTTAATGATTTCCGTAGAGATCATTTCCAACAGAGCTTCTGTATTTCCCGCCTGCAGCCTTCCTGCCGGGATCAGAAGGGAGCCAGTGGGAGTCTTTAATTTCAAGGCAGGACCGTGTGCCTCTCGTGCTTCTTGGGAGTGACCCCCGAGTCTCAGCAGTCATGTGAGGGGCTCTTCCAGGGATGGAGGGTTCCAGGGAGACTCGTGGGGAGGGCCTGGTGGTGAAGTGCGTCTGCGTGCACGAGCGTGTGGGGTGGGGGGTTGGTCTATGATGAGTGTCCTTTCTAACACGGAGGACCATGGTGGCCTTCAGCTGTGGGGCAGGGGAGACTCAGGTGTCTTCCCCAGAAGGGCCATAGCTGCAGAGAAGTGACCAAGGGCACTCAGATGCACAATCGCACCACTGCCGTCGGGTGCAAGTGCAGGTCCTGACGCAGGCGGGGGCCTAGGAGTCAGTGCCCCAGTCATGCTTGCGGGCAAGAGGGAAACCACACACTCTTCAAGCTCTGCTGGTATCGCATTGACTAATGTACCCCTGTGTTTGTCAGCTTTCCAACACTATGACAACATCCTTGAGACAACTACTTTATAAAGTAGAGAGGTTTATTTAGCACCCAGTTTTGGAGCTTCCTGTCCAAGATCAGCTGGATTCACTGCTTTGGGTCTACGGTGAGGTAGCATATCATGGCAGGGGCATGTGGTGGAGCCAACTGCTCACCTCCTGGGCCAGGAGGAACAGGAGGGGATAGAGGTCCCACACTCCCAATGACCTGAGGACCTTCCGCTAGGCTCCACCTTTGAAAGCTTCCATCACCCCCCCAAAGCGCCACCAGGGGCCCTTGAGGGGACTTCAACATCCAACCAGACAAACGCTAGAGCAATCCCATGTCTATACCAGTGGGTGCCAGGAGGAGAGGGTGATGGG